TCAGACTAATAATCTACATAGACCCTAACTTCATAGCTACAGGTAAGACAATACCCAAGCTAACTGCTTCAAAGTTAAAATATTTTCTTAACACCAGACCTCCCTTGTTTATACTGGATTTTAAAACCTTACAAGATTCATTTCTGGTAAACCAATCCTTCTCATTATTTGCTATAATACTTGTCTCTCATACAGCTGTCATCATAACACTTGTCACTTAATTCAAATGTATATCAATCACTATCATATTACGCTGCCGGACACTTTCCAGGTGTTTATTTAAAAGGTTGAATAAAGGTGTTATGTTGTTTTCAACAAGTAGCAATGTATTCGTGATAAATAAGAATGATATTCACATTGGTCATCAATATAACCGTGTGTTTCCTGTTATGAAGTGTTTCCATATAAGGATTATAGAGGAGTGTGGGTAAGTCATTGTGATTCGTTCATTACTGTGTCTGTTCTCATACAATGGCTATCTGTTTTACAATCGGTTATTATCATATAAATAACCTTTACAAAAATCTGTTTCCTTGTACATTGATTATCATGAGACATAGACAGCTGTGTTGTATTTACTGTCTCACATATTTACTGCCATTGTCCTTTCATTATATTTATCATATGTACAACTTTTACTCAAACAGCTGCCGAGTGGCTAAGGCGTTTCCCTTTACTTGTCCTCCCCCTCTGGGTCATGGGTTTGAGACCTATTCGGGGCAGTCACTAGGCAATGGCTGCAGGTCAGGTCAATTTTCTCCAAAATTTATCTACTTCAATTTTTTACTGAACTTCTTACCTTTAATGTCGTACTTCGAAAAACATTATTGAACATGACGTCCTACATCGCCAAAATGTGACGAATGAATATTGAACAGATCAGACGAAACTGGGGTCTATTGTAACCTAAGTTATAAATAATGTGGTTTTGTACACGTGAGGGTAAGCTAGAAGTGTGGTCGTAAGATTTAACTAGAGATTTGTATATGTTCTCTATATTTACAACTAAGGGGGGTCCCTATTCTGCTTCCACGTCAATTTCAATTCGATATTCAGGGGCCTATTTCTTTGGTCATGACTTCAGTGGAAGAAGTCCCCAACTGGCGGTCAAACTTGTAAGACAGGGGTTCAAATGTTGCAGGTTGATTAAATTATGGGAAAGTTTTATGGCTATAGTAATCTCACTGAGAAAGATTCCATTTCTTTGTGTGATATGAAGCTAAATGTGTTATGATGCTCGATAGTTTGCCCGTTCTTTCCGTTGCTGTATACCTTGTTCTCATTTGAAAACGTGACATTGCTTACTTGGATAGACCAAGGTTTACATGGCGGATGCAGTCGATGAAGCAGAAGACGCTTACTCTTTCGGAACACATAGCCTCATTCTCCTTGTATTTTTTCAGTGGTCTACTTGTAAGTCTTTCAACTTTAAGATTGTAAAGATTTTATTAAGATTTTGTTGACATGTAGATATTGTCTTTGAATACAGAAATGGCAATAGATACGATACAACGATATAGCTTTATCACACAAACAAGAGGCCCATGGGCCTTAACGGTCATCTGACAAAAAGCAAGCCAAACCTAGAAAGTGGGTTGAGGTCATTCATTTGAACAAACTTGGTAGCCTCTCCTCCAAGCATCTTACAGGCCCAATATCAGCACTCATGGACTTTTGCTTGTTGAGAAGAAGTCGTTTGTATATTTTAACATATTTGACCCCTGTGACCTTGAAAGTGGGTTGAGGTCATTCATTTGAATAAACTTGGTAGCCTTTCCTCCCAGCATGCTACAGACCCAATATCGGCACTCATAGACTTTTGCTTATTGAGATGAAGTCCTTTGTATATTTTAACATATTTGACCCCTGTGACCTTGAAAGTGGGCCAAGGTCATTCATTTGAACAAACTTTGTAGGGCTCCATGCCAGCATGCTATGGGCCAAGTATTAGCCCCCTAGGCCTTCTAGTATTTGAGAAGAAGTTATTTAAAATTTTGACATATTTGACCCCTGCGACCTTGAAAGTTGTTCAAGGTCATTCATTTAAACAAACTTGATAGCCCTTCATCCCAGCATGCCACAGGCACAATATCAGCAATCTGAGCCTTTTGGTTATTGAGAAGAAGTTGTTTAAAGATTTTAACATATTTGACCCCTGTGACCTTTAAAGTGGGTCAAGGTCATTCATTTGAACAAATTTGGTAGTCCTTCATCCCAGCATGCTACAGGCCTTATTTTAGTTGCCTGGGCCTTTTGATTACTGAGAAGAAGTCCTTTGAAGATTTAAAGACATTTGACCCCTGTGACCTTGAATGAAGGTCAAGGTCATTCATTTGAACAAACTTGGTAGGGTTTCATCAAAGCAAGCTACAGGCTAAATATTAGTTGCCTGGGCCCTCCAGTTATTGAGAAGAAGTCGTTTGAAGATTTTAAGACATTTGACCCCTGTGACCTTGAATGAAGGTCAAGGTCATTCTTTTTAACAAACTTGGTAGGGCTTCATCAAAGCAAGCTACAGGCCAAATATTAGTTGCCTGGGCCTTCCAATTATTGAGAAGAAGTCGTTTGAATGAAAAGTTTACGGACGGCGCACGGCGGACGACGACGGACGAAGCATGATGACTATAGGTCATCGGACCCTTCGGGTCAGATGACCTAAAAAACTGTGGCGTTCTGGTGTATTCTTCATCGATGCCACGAAAAAAGAAGTATGCGTATCCGGAACGAATATTAGGAAAATCAAAATTGAGCAAACTCAGGGGCGTAGCTTCCATAGAAAGAAAAAGCCCGGGCTTACACATAAAAAAATCCTTGCATAGAGTATGTCGGACAAAACTAAGGTTCAAAATAAATATCAGGGGTTGAAGTTTGTTGTTAAATAAATAAAAAAAAACTGTCTCAGAAAACGATTCAAAACATCTTTGAAATCATGAAATTCAGATCCCTCGCCTGGGCTTACACATTTCTGCTGGGCTTGCTACGCCCCTGAAACCTTATAGAAGTTGAGGTATATCAAATCCAATATTTAATCAAACCTTATAGAAGTTGATGTATATAAAACCAGTAATTAATCAAAGCTTATTGAAGATGAAGTCTACAGAACCTATTATTGAATTTGTTCAGTATAAATGCTGGGATTACTTACTAGTAAGTAAGCATCACACTTGTACGCTCGTTTGAAGACTAAATTGTTTTTTTTACGAAGTAGTGATAGTGTTGGTGTGTTCATGTAGTGTATACACCTTTCATCCTCTGTGGTCTGGTCATTTGTTTGTCTGTAACTCTTTAAACGTTGTCTCAGTCTCCACATACTTAACATCAATCAGCGACGTACTACAATGTTAATGTAGAAGTAGATAGGGAGATAAATTGTTTCTGTGATCTGGTATGCTAATTTTGTGTCATATTACAGGCTCGAGTGCCTAATGTCAAACACACTGTCCGTCTCAGTTAGAATATACTTATGCCAACAAAATGATTTATTAGAAATCATTTCAAAGGATTTTAAAACCTGTTTAATGTTACCAAAAGAAAAGCAAAAACAAAAAAACAATACAAATATAGAATTACGTTAAAATATAGCTCATCCTGTATTCTACCAAGCAAAGATATATAGAGACTATTTAAAGAATGTAGATTTTATTGTCTTACGTTAACGAAATAAATATACATAAATTTCCAAGTTTTAATTTATTTAGTATAACTCCTGGTGTACCGAAAATGAGCACATGCTTACACAATTTAAAAACAAATTACTCAAATGACGATATCACAAGACAACTTATGAGGAGCTAGCGTGTGTGTTGATGAGTCGTCCGTGGTGAAGTGTGGCTTTACACTGGATTCAGTGGCAGACGCAATGACATACGACTGCATTATCTTATGAAGATGGCGTTTTATCATGACAAGTGAAGCGAGAAGACTTCCACACGAATTACAGCTATCCTACCAATTTACCGAGTTGTAGATGTAGAAGTCCGGGGTCTAGTGTTAAAGGTGGCAGAATTTGACAGATCGTTAGTCGCCAGATGTGTGTCTCTTGTCGGTATGATTGAGTACACCAGACTTAAACAATGGATTTAAGATGACGAGATTTGTGATCTAGTTTAACAGGACATAGCAGAAGAAAGTGTCCGAGCATTTACGTCACGAGACATGACAATCAGAGTGCCTGCTTAGATAACACCCACTCCTCAAACTTCACAAAATGAAATGAATACAGAACAAAAACTGACAAGCGTCCGGACTTATTATATTTAAGTATCATCGTTTCACCGCGTATCACATGATCGATCTCTGTGGCGTGGCTGCCTTGACCCGGTACTAAGTATGACATTTCCTTCTGTGGGACACTAGATACGCGGTGTCACCGTCTGTCCAGGAGACATTATATTCTATGCACGGCTTACCATTTGCATTCGATTTGATTACAACGTCGACACATGTCATACAATTAAGTCATTCATTCATTCGGAAGACCTGCAGTATACTACCTATCAATACCTTTCAATGGAGCAGTGTTTGATTTATTCTTCTGAACAAAAATCACTGCTATGTCTTTAGAACGCTTGATTGCTGTTTTGACTGTCAATGCAGAGCTGGTTTGATATAACGCTAGTTATCATCAACTGGACCTCCTACAAGTACTGACGATAAGTATTGTGGTATTAGACACGTTACCGACCGAGTCAGTTTAGTCAACATGAATGTGGTTCAAGTCTTCACATAGCTGCCTTGGACGTACACACTATTCATATAAACTGCCCCTAATCCGTTAAAGAGCGTGATAAAGATAAAGTCGACATATTGTCTCTAAAGATACAAGTGACACCTGTCGGCAGGAGAATGGATTAATCCGCCTAGTGTCCTAACACGGAAATATTTCAAAATCATCTATAAAATATATGGGCATGTATTAATTTTTAGTGAGGCACACGTGAGAGACATGCGTTTTGTACGGTATTGCCTAAGTTGATGTCTAACGAGCTGACAGTTTTGCGATGCATGTGGTCCTTACTATTCTTGTGCTGCTAATGGATGTTACTGGATACTTCCAATCGGACGGCCGAGCCATCATGGTCGAACCGCCACACAGGTCGAGTTTGTGGCGATTCCGCTACCCGACCCATGTCAACTCAGAGGACGACCTACTGAACTGTGGAGGATTTGACGTAAGTTCTCCATCATGTTTTAATCTTCTATCTCAATCTTATGCAACTATCAGAATGTTAGACCATTCATAACGAGTTCGTCATTTAAAACAGGGTTCCAAAATCTCAAACTCAGAAAGCTAGACCCTACCAAAGGTTTCTGAAATGTAAACTAATTACAAAAACACTGAGAATTAGCTTACTGTGATTTTGTTATCATTTTTGTATTATACAGAATCATTGCGCGATAGATAACCTGTTCACTTTATAATTTAATTAAATTCTGATGACAGAGACTTCTATATTTCAATGATTTCAAAATCTTACTAATGTACCGTAACAACAACTGGCAATACAGGGCCTAATCTCTGATTTATAGGGATGCTGAATTAGCTATTAAATGGAATATCATCATATGGTCATTTTGATTATTAGAGACTTGTTTCAACCTCTGTCATTGGTTGAAAATAAACTGTTTTCAATTTTTATATTCCATATTCAAACCGAGAATTTTCTTCGCGTGCTCGCAGTTAACCTCATGTTAACGAGTAAATCATCAGACCTATATAATCTGACTGACGTAGAATGAAAAGTGATATTGAATAGCACATCACGGATTTTGACAATATTTCTTGATATCGTAATGCCTCCCATCCACTTTAAGACAGATACCCCAGACAATACACACTGACGTGTTAATAGCTTTAAGTATGCTGCAACTGACGACTGTCTCTTTTTTCAGGGACAATGATTGACGTGTATTAAACTACCTTGATTAACAACACCTTGATCAAAATGACTTGGCATGACCCAATTTATGAAAAGCAGAGTGACTCACCTGCTCTCGGGTAATATATATATATGATAGATAACCTTTTACTCTAATCGTAAGATAAGATAGTCCACTAAACATGATTATTCACCACTTCTGTATAAATCTTCACTAAATTTGTGATATAAATTTAGATTTATCAAGTATTTGCTATTTTTGTAAGGAAAACATATGTATATATACTAAACATATATATTTCTTAGTTAAAGATACTAAAGTGATACTTCTTTGTAATCAACAGTAATTTTATTTGTGCTGTAGAGAGGATAGTTATCAGGTATTCCAGTAGACATGGTATACACTATTTAGATAAGGACAGAAACACATTCCACTAAACATGATAAGGACACGATATGTGGAACAAATAAACAGTAACCATATATGTAATACAAAGGCGGGTTTGTTATTTGGGATAGAATTCGCTTTATGATAAAGACTCAGGTACGCAGAGTTAAGACATCATGTCGTTGTGATAAAACAATAAAGCATTCATGTATGCATAGATATTAATAGTTTAAGTTCCCACAAATATGACAAACACACTGCGTAATTTGTGTAAATAAATTCCAATCTTGTCTATAATGTTAACTTTATAAAGCTGTCTTGTTTTATAAAACAAAATCCTGATGTTATCTATAATTTTATCAAACTGTAGCGTCTTAGTCTATAAAACAAAATCCCAGTCTTGTCTATAATGTTACCTTTATAAAGCTGTCTTAGTTTATAAAACAAAATCCCAGTCTTGTCTATAATGTTAACTTTATAAAGCTGTCTTGTTTTATAAAACAAAATCCCAGTCTTGTCTATAATGTTACCTTTATAAAGCTGTCTTAATTTATAAAACAAAATCCCAGTCTTGTCTATAATGTTAACTTTATAAAGCTGTCTTAATTTATAAAACAAAATCCCAGTCTTGTCTATAATGTTACCTTTATAAAGTCTAATAATGTTACCTTTATAAAGCTGTCTTAATTTATAAAACAAAATCTTGTCTATAATGTTAACCCAGTCTTGTCTATAATGTTAACTTTATAAAGCTGTCTTAGTTTATAAAACAAAATCCCAGTCTTGTCTATAATGTTAACTTTATAAAGCTGTCTTAGTTTATAAAACAAAATCCCAGTCTTGTCTATAATGTTAACTTAATAAAGCTGTCTTAGTTTATAAAACAAAATCCCAGTCTTGTCTATAATGTTAACTTTATAAAGCTGTCTTAGTTTATAAAACAAAATCCCAGTCTTGTCTATAATGTTAACTTTATAAAGCTGTCTTAATTTATAAAACAAAATCCCAGTCTTGTCTATAATGTTAACTTTATAAAGCTGTCTTAGTTTATAAAACAAAATATATATGTGTATAATGTTACTAAAACTGCAGGATTTTACCTGGTTAAGGCAGTTCATTCCTTTAGATATTATGAGATAAAATTCGATGAAATGACTTATTTTTATCGTAGATATACCTACACTTCAATCAACACATAAAACACATTTGTCACCACATTGCATTTATACCGGGGTGAAATATTCAGTCGTTCTACTCAGTTCATATCTACCATAGAAATATATTTAAAGATACGTTAAATAATTCGTAACCGCCCACTCCCCCAACCCTACCGACCCCTCTCCCAAAATTAAAAAAAAAAACAAATAAAACATAATTGTTTTGGTAGTAGAAAAAGGCAATCCTGAATTTTATTGTAATATATGGTCTTTTAAACTGGAAACATTATGTACAAACCCCTTCTTGTTTACTCTATTTATTTTCAACATTCATAGCTGAGAGTCGCGATGTTTACAACTATACCACTCTACCACAGCTGAGTGGCACCAAGTTTACCACTTTACCACAGCTAAGTGGCGCGAAGCTTACCACTACACCACTACTGAGTGACACCAAGTTTATCACCATACCACAGCTGAGTGGCGCGAAGCTTACCACTATACCACTAATGAGTGACACCAAGTTTACCACTATACCACAGCTAAGTGGCGCGAAGCTTACCACTATACCACTACTGAGTGACACCAAGTTTACCACTATACCACAGCTAAGTGGCGCGAAGCTTACCACTATACCACTACTGAGTGACACCAAGTTTACCACTATACCACAGCTAAGTGGCGCGAAGCTTACCACTATACCACTACTGAGTGACACCAAGTTTACCTTTATACCACTACTGAGTGACACGAACTTCACACCTATGCCACTATACCACTGCTTAGTGGCACGAAGTTTACCTTTATACCACTGCTGAGTGGCACTAACTTCACACCTATACCACTATACCACTGCTGAGTGGCACGAAGTTTACCACTATACCACTATACCAATACTAAGTGGTAATCATGTTTCTCTACTCATGTTTGATATATTGACCTTAATCGATTTTTTTTTACAAAATTCCCCTCCCGTATCCATAGTCTTCGTCTTGTTAAAAACAAACACATAGCAAAACTCCAAGGTGAAATTACTCTAAACCGGGTATAGGTAGCGCGCTGTTAAAAAAAAGACAGAAAAAAGGATAAACGACATCTGGACAGATAGAAGCTAACTTTATCAAACTGTTTGAGTCAACATAAATAAATTCCAATGTTGAGTATAATAACCGGTATGATATTTCATATTAAATTTTATCAAAATTTTGAGGTTTTAATTCAGATAAGGAAATACAAGCGTGGTACGTACTGTTTAATTGTATTCAAATGAAATGCTTAATTCTGTATTAATAATGAATTATGGAGCTAGTCCACCTCCCTCTCTGTATGATGCAGTTTACTTTGTTGTTTAGCTCTGCTCTATCTAATCGTCGTATTGAATGAAAGGTGTTTTTCACCTGTGTGTCTTTAGTACAATCTTCCAATACGAAATTTCAAGCTTAATGTTATTAAACTGCAATTCAATCAAAAATCGAAAATCAAGTGCGATATATATTGCTAAATTGTATCAAACTGCAACGCTCCAAAATATTTCACGAAATTCCAGTGAGGTGTGTAATATCAAATTGTAACCGCAATGTTTTTGTTCACATAAATAAATTCAGTTCCAGTGTGTTGTATGATGACTAATGTAAACTTCTAATTAATGGCTTGTATTAGAGTCAAATTTAGAAAGATAAAAAGAACTGTAAGGTTCTAAGTTATAGATATTGTAGATGATGTTGAAATACTAAACTGCAGCTGTGGTAATAACCAGAATACAACTTCTACGATCAGATCAAGGCTTTGATTCAAACAGCTTTGACACAATGATGAATTATTCTAATATCTATAGCACGTGTAAATGATTTCGAAATAGTTACAATGTTATGCACCACGTAAATCACTTCGAATATTCATTCACCCACCCCCCACCCCCACCCCCGTACCCCCCCCCCCCCTCCCCGGCCGAATAAAAACGAGTCCGACAAAGAATCCCTCTTTTCATTTAGTCCATCCACCGTATAAGAAGTCTTAGTAACTTAGTAATAGGAAATTCAGCACACGTAAAAATAAAGACACTTTAAAAAATGAAAAACAATACCAAAATTTCACAAACAATACCAAAATTTGATAAACGATACCAAAATTTGATAAACAATACCAAATTTAACGAAAATTTAGCTGTTTCGTTCTCCGTCAGTGTTGTTAGGGGCCTAAAATAAGAAACATAGGACTGAGGAAAAGAACGTTATGGACAGAAAAGTGGCACTTTAGACGGGGACCTGCACTCGTCCCATAATTCAATAAATCTAGGACTGTAGTGTATGAGATGTGTATAAACCACTAATCGAATGAATTAAAACATGGCATGCAGGTTACAATACCTAACGGCGATAAAATGGAATGCACAATACCAACGTATTATATACCGGAATAAAGATTGATAAAATGTGATAAATAAAGAATGATAAAATGTGATAAATAAAGAATGATGAATTGTGATAAACTGAAATAAAGAATGATGAAATGTGATAAATAAAGAATGATAAAATATGATAAATAAAGAATGATGAATTGTGATAAACTGAAATAAAGAATGATAAAATGTGATAAATAAAGAATGATGAATTGTGATAAACTGAAATAAAGAATGATGAAATGTGATAAACTGAAATAAAGAATGATGAAATGTGATAAATAAAGAATGATAAAATATGATAAATAAAGAATGATGAATTGTGATAAACTGAAATAAAGAATGATAA